GCAGTTGAAAAAATTGGAACGTATCTTAAATCTCTATTCATCCAGGAAATAAGACGATAACACCACAGTTTGTCGATTGGCAGGTCGTGTGTGGAAGGATAAAGTCTGGGTATTCCCGCCTCTTCAAAAACGTCGACCCAGCGTGGAAGAGTAGGCCAACTGTCGTTCACCCATTTGTTCCGCTTATTGGACAGAGGTGGTGGGATTTGAGAAACTAGTTAATCGTTTCAACTGAGATGGAACCTGCGACCTCAATTGAACCTGCAACATTTAGACTTTAAAATTCAGTGCGTTCACCATTACACTGTGACATCATCCCCTGGGTATGAGTAATGATATAAACAAAAACAAATAATGCACAAATTAATAATCAAGCCTCCAGTCCAGAAGCTCCTGGTAAAGCAGTGTTCTCCACTAATTTTCGGAGGGGGTGGGGGTGGAATGGGGTGGATCCCTGTCGCTGTCGCCGAGAAGACATCTTCAGTGCGAGGACCGCCACAAATTTGAAACCATTGGGCTTTAACAACAGTACGATGATAATCGTTTTTTTACCCTTCAATCTGGCAACAAAACTGACACCTTTTTACAAGGAGTCATGTTTGCATCGACCGCAATACCTGCAGTCATAATACAAACAAAAGACATAACTCTGATAATGTATGCACTGTCCTTGAAGTTGATTGGTCCACACCCGAGACAGCTTTCCTTAGAGCCTAGTCTCACATGGGTTGGACCAGATGACGCCAATAGGCGCACAACTCAAAGACAATGCACCATCAGAGTATGAGAGCTCGGGGCAAGCATCTACACTATGGGAACCTCATTTGCCAGTAAAAATATGATCATTGTCTTTTGTTTGTATTATGACTGCAGGTATTGCGGTCTATGCAAACATGACTCCTTGTAAAAAGGTGTCAGTTTTGTTGCCAGATTGAAGGGTAAAAAAACTATTATCATATTTTTACTGGCAAATGAGGTTCCCATAGAGCAGCACGATGATGATGATGGGGGGGGGGGGGGGGGTGATGTCACGTGTTGTATATTGTCGGGGGCCTCAGGTCAGGGGCCTGCACTAAAGGCCACCGGGGGCCCCAACGGCGGCCTGCATTGTTCGATCACGACTCGTGGAAGACTTCGCTCAATGCACTTTACAGCGATCGCTCCTCTGCCACGTCCGTTGGTAATCACGTGACGGCAGTGACCGGCGTGACCAAGCGCCAGCCCATGCGATGGCTGCTGAACCCACACCACCTCAATTAGTCAGCTAATCCAGCGTGGGTACTTAAGAGCACCTCCTGTCAGCCGTGCTCAATGCAATTAATTTGAACTGTACGGAGTGGCATCAATCATTAAATTAAAAGGTGTTATGGGGTTGCACGTGTGCTTGGCTGAGCGCTCACGAAAATTCGGGGACCAGGGATTTTTTTCTGTTTTGTTTAAGTGACGGTGCTCGTGAAGCGTTCAGTGATTGCTGATGAAGGGCGCCGCGTATATAATAACGTCATTAATTAGCGCATTCAAATGTAAATTCACCAGCGTTGCATACGAGCCCAGGGTTTTCGGGCCCTCGCGGCCTCTTCTCGGACTATGTTTTTGTCTTGTTCTCTTCAGCTGTACCATTTTACACGCGTATACAGCGTACGCATCGATGGTCGTAAAACCGAGTGAGCGAAAGGGTGACGTACATTGTAAATGCTGTTCCGGAATTGCTGGAAAAGCTGATATGTCTATGCAGATTGATCATCATCGTCGTCGTCAGCCATTATCAATTCACTGCTTGATGAAAGCCTCCCTCGACGATCTCGTGATGCAACTTCCCATCTCGCTCCTGCATATGATCTGATATCACCCCGTGTCTACCGTATGACGAAAACAATCTTGAATCTAAAACTGCATCTAACTTGTCCTCCAAATAAATGATGCCTTAGAGGTTGCTTGGTTTTACTCGTAAGAAAAGCTCGGCCTAAATATCTCTTGGCTTTTGGTCTTATGTTAAACACGGTCACACAAAAAAGACACGATCCCCATCTCCTGTGAACCAAGTAGATTTCTTTGCATTGCATGTGATGCTGAGGCTGGTAATAAGTATAACCCGTAAAAACAAAGTTTTTCACTATAAATCCTTTATATGCGTGGCGGCTAGAGTCCTCTCGTCCTCTGGCTTGAGATGGCTGCCACCTATGGGTCAGATGATTGCATTGTACCATTAAGCAATTGGTAATTAAATATAATATTTTTGTCCTAAAAGGTGTAAAATTTTGGAAAAAAAATTTCACGAACATCAATTGTCACGCACAACGAGTCTGTGTGGAAAATGTCAGCTCGATTGGATCACGGCAAGTGGGTTAAAAAACGACCGAAAGATTTGCACGGTCCTAAGCAAGCAAGCGAACTTAATATAAAGAATTTAAAAAGCAAGCAACATCCTGCTGTCTAGTTTGCAGCACATGTATATGTCACGCAATTTTGCACGCATGTCGCTGTTTAATAAATGTGTTGGATTGAACATTGTTAGATTAATGCCTTTACTTCATTTAAAACCAAATGAAAGCTGTTTGAGATGAATTGTATGTTTTTTCAAGGGAAACCTGGGGAAAATAAATCAGGGCTAAGAGGCAAAGACCATGGCAAAATATATATTTAAAACGAACCAATAACACAAAAACTGAAATGCAATTTAAAATTGAGTAACTAACTTAGTTTCAGTCACTGGAGAGATACAAAAACGTATGAATATATTAGCTCATAGATAAAGGCATTTAAAACGTATTTCAAAAGCCCTTGCATTTTATACTGTTCATGCAAATAATCTACAACCTAATCAAAGAATATCCTGTGCAAGGTTGGAATCAAATATAAAATTAACTGCCTGTTTAAACTATGCCGGTGTATTTGCTATTTCCCATGCAGTAATAAGAGTATAGCTTTTTTAGTGACTGGGGCACCCTTTCCCATGACACAATGCACACATCTGTTGATGATTTAACGCAAAATGATGGATTGTGTGGCGCTGCGCAGATTCGGCATAAAAGCAACTCCTGATGTCGACCTTCATGATTGACAATGACATCGTGCAATTGTCTGTTCAATTGCGGTCGTGGTTCCAGTTTGGCTGGGAATAAATGCTACTTTAAGTCTTCTACGGTCTCAAATCGACAATAGGAATGGGATGGTCGAGGCGTGATTGGCACTGCCACGCAATAAATTACCGATTCTTGTCCCAACAAAATCTCAGCATGTGTGCATTAATAACGCTTTGCATTTCTATTAAAACTGTTGATTAATCCACCGGTACGGGTCAACTGCGACTTGAAAACCGTGACACTGAACGTATCACCTTCCACCGAAAGCTTAATTCGCTCACATTAGGACCACCCCGGTATGCGAGAAAAATATAAGTGAGTATTGCTGAAGCGAAGCTGATGGCGATGCCGTCAGTGCCTCGGAGAGAGAGATTTCGGGGGCGTGCAGAAGGCAGCGACAATGCGTAGAGAGACCCGGAGGGTGCAGTTGGCATGCAGCTTTGCTTTATGCCAAGAACAAAAAACGTATAAACTTTCAAGCAATAGGCAGGATCCTTCATTTTACCAGCAGATGAAATAAACCCCATTGAGACGTATGTGGAACATTGCCTCCTTTTTGTTGCAAGGGTGACCTGGAAAAGATCATGGTATGACGCTGCAAAAATGCTCATCTCGGCGTCGACAAGTCGTGCGTGAGAGTACTGCATCCGTTGCAAGGTGTTAACGAATCGACTCTGACAACGATGAATTTACCATGCGTGTTTTTTTTCCGCGTGTGTGTTTTTGCGTGTGATGATGTAACACACTCAAGACACGCAACGGCACATCGCAGATGTTCACACATTGCCGCGTGCATCTCGCCGTCCACTCGTTGAGGACGTTCGACGGACGTTGAGATGTCGAACCGTGAACGTTCAAGTATCAGTGTTAGGGGCGAGCGTCGGGTGCCGCAGTGTGGGAAGAGGAATAGAGCCGGGGGAATTGTGCCAAGGTGGAATTGAAAAATAAAGAGTGTGCACACACACAGTATAGGAACAAAAGTGGGAATCTTGTAGAATTAGACGGGGGTCATAATTTCAGATCAATGAACAGAACCCTAATTTCTCCTTTAGGTCTATTATTTGTCGAACGCGTTTTTTTCCCAACACACCATTTTCCTGAGGAACGTAACTCCCACGTTCGGCGAGCTCTGAATACATTTCAAGAGTCAGCAGCAGCCTCTGGCTGGATTGAGCAAACTTTTGTTCGCCATGTCATCGGCACCTAGTTAACCGGGAGTAACCCCGAGGTATGAACAGAGAGGGATTGGTGGCTGGAGATGAGAATAGATGGTCCATGATGTGACGAGATCGATGGCTGAGGAGTAGTGAGTGGTGCACGTACCTACAATTTAATCTTGATTTGAAGCTTTCGTGACTGCAGGAATCCATACTCTTTGGTGCTTTCGGTAAAGTCACGTAGGTATAAAATAAATCACGACGTTTCGGGCACAACACAAGCGTCCATCATCAGATGGGAAAGTGTGGTCTGCTGCTGAGGCAGACTTTTTTAAATCCTTTATATTAAGTTCGCTTGCTTGCGTGTTTGCGTGCTTGCTTGCTTGCTTACGACCGTGCAAATCTTTCGGTCGTTTTTTAACCCACTTCCCGTGATCCAATCGAGCTGACATTTTGCACACAGACTCGTTGTGCGTGACAATTTATTTTCGTGAAAACATTTTTCCAAAATTTTCCACTGTTTAGGGAAAACAAATTTAATATTTAATTATCAATTGCTTAATACTGGCAGACAATCATCTGACCCATAGGTGGCAGCCATCTCAAGCCAGAGGACGAGAGGACTCTAGCCGCCACGCATATAAAGGATTTATAGTGAAAAACTTTGTTTTTACGGGTTATACTTATTAAAGGTTTGAAATGGGTGCATACCTACAATCTGTCGTGTTGTGTGTGTGTTTTTTTGCGTTTGTTTTCTCAGACGTCACCATACAGCCCACGCCAGCCCTGACATATCGCACCATTGGAGGGGTGCTCGACTTTTACATTTTTTTGGGGCCATCGCCAGAGGAGGTGGTCCAGCAGTACCACGAGGTATGTGCCGTGGAGACGCACCTCGGACAATAAGTTATCATCCGTTGCTCACGGAGCACCATCAGTAGATGCACAGGTTTATCCACCCTGCTTTGTTTTCCAGTTGTGTCCCTCTAACAGATATCTTCAATTTGAACACGTGGGCTTTCGTGGCCAATGTTATTCATAATGAAGGTGTTATTTTTTGGGGGGTTAGATGGTGTAAGTATGAATGTGTTGTTACTACTTCAGCACACCGGTTTGTAACTAATTGGCACGTTTCGTTTATGTGGCAAACCTAACTAATTGGCTGTGTCGGGTGGTGATGGGTTAAAGACACATTAATATTTATTCCATTTAACAACAACAATAAAGCTTTATTCTGAAAGATATCTTCAATTGAGAATAGGTTTTCCCCTTTTTTCTGGCAACACAACAGTTGTTAAGATGCTAAAACACCAAATTGAAACCTTTTACAAGGAATTATGTCTGCATTAACCACAATACTTGTGGTCAGAATGCAAACAAAAACATACTCTGATAGTATATGCATTGTCTTTGAAACTGAATCCTCTGGTTTAACACCGTTTGAGACTAGGCTCGAAAGAAAGATGTCTCTGGTGTGGACCAATCAGTTTCAAAGACAATGCATATATTATCAGAGTGTTTTTTTTTGCATTCTGACCACAAGTATTGTGGTTAATGCAGACATGATTCCTTGTAAAAGGTTTCAGTTTGCTGTTTAAACATCTCAACACCTATTTTGTTGCCACAAAAAATGGGAAAACCTATTCTCATATTTTGGTACTGGCAAAGGAGGTCCCATAATATATCTTCAAATGTTTCGCAATCTTGTTAGCAAATTAAGTTATGCCAGCTCCATCCCGCAAGAGATGAGATCCAATCCACATTTATCCTCCCTCCTGCACGGACAATGTATGAGGCACAACGTCGCATATCACAACTAACCGCCCACACCCATTGCAGTGTGTGTGCACCGTGTGTTCTTCATCTCGCGTACACGGTGGTGAGGTGTTATCATCCTTCACCTGGTATGCAGGCGCACGGGGGTTCGATCCCGACCCTTGACGCCTATATATTTGGAGTTTTCATGTTCTCCCCGTGGTCGAGTGCATTTTTTCTATGGGTCCTGAGGTTTTTCCCTCCACGGTTATAAACATGTATTGAGATTATTTAGATGATTTTGTCGCTATAAATGTCCAAATGATGGGTTACTTTGTTGAGTTATCATTTGTGGCCAGGTCGCTTCTGAAAAATAAGTTAATACCTCAGTGGGCTTTGCCTGGTAGGATGAGGATGGTTTATTGTTGTATTTGTAATTGTTTGTCTGACTTGTTTACCTTTCTTGTACTTTGCACTCCTATCGTGTTCTCGTATTGTTGGTTGTTATAACGGTCTTACCCGCCCCTACTAGACATATGGGAAAAATAGCTTAATAGATCACTGGATTCCTACAGTATAAATATTCTGATTCTGACTTGTAATATACAGCGTAGCATTTTCCTCATGTTCAAAGCAGTTTGCTCCATGTTTTTTATTAGGCTGTCACCAATATGCCACTGATCGGCAATCAGGTTGCAAACCGACGATTACTCAAGAGAAGCTCTGTGAAGAATTCACCACCATCATCGCCATCGGCCATGACCAATCCAGTTGGTGGTGAAGGCTTCTCCGATCCGTTACCGCCGCTCAGTCGGAGACCCATTTCTATTGCGCGCTCGCAACGATCATCAACTGCGCCCATCACGGTCGGCAAAGCTACGCCGCGTTTGCAGGGTTGCATCGTAACAGCATCGTTCTGTCTTCTTGGTTCTTTCGGTAAAGTCACGTAGAAGGGAAATAATAAAAAATAAAACATAATAAAATACAATTCTCACGACGTTTCGGCCACAACGCAAGCAGCCGTCCTCAGGTGAAGAACAGGTCTGTCGGAAAGACAGCGTCTAAATGACAAACGTGTTCTTCACCTGAGGACGGCTGCTTGCGTTGTGGCCGAAAAGTCGTGAGAATTGTATTTTATTATGTTTTATTTTTATTATTTTATTATTTCCCTTCTACGTGACTTTACCGAAAGAACCAAGAAGATGAATCCCTGCATTCACGAAAGTTTAAATCGAAGCATCGTTCTGAGCGGACCTAGTTGGGGGGTGGAATAAAATTATTTAATGAAAAAACAGTCGAGGGTAACTTTAGCGACGGGAATGTGCGAGTCTGATGAACGGTTGCGGCTGGTTCCTCCCCCCCCACCTCCCCATACAAGTTTTGCTATTTCAAAAGATTTTAAACAATCAAATGCCTCATCTTGTCGCAAGATGAGGGCATTAAGGCGCATTCATAGTTCGTGGATGGCGTGTCTGGCTAGGAGAGGTACAGGTACGTTTGGGCCCGTTAATATAATTTGATACTTCTTCATAATCAACGTTTTTGGGTTTAGATCGCGTTATTTATAAATGTGTCGTAACCCTCCACCACCCGACACGGCCAATCAGTAAAAAAGTGTCACGTTGACAAAAGACAAATAGTTCACTGCTTTAGCCCACCGGTGTGTTGAAGCGTGAAACCACAACATTTACAATTTGAGTACGACGTTTCGCTGGTAATTGCATCGTCGTACTCAAATTGTAAATGTTGTGGTTTCACGCTTCAACACACCGGTGGGCTAAAGCAGTGAACTATTTGTCTTTTGTCAACGTGACACTTTTTTTACTGATTGGCCGTGTCGGGTGGTGGAGGGTTACGACACATTTATAAATAACGCGCTCTAAACCCAAAAACGTTGATTATGAATAATATTGGTCTTGAAAGCCTACGTGTTAAATTGATACTTCTTGTCTGAGCTGTCACGTGAACGCTGATTACACCTGCAATGAAAGTATTATGGGTGGTCAGCCCACCGTTTGCAGAATCCGGCGACCTAAGTTGGATTACCGGCCAAGGTTTAATCCCCCCCCCCCCCTCCACTCGACTCCCCTCCACCTTTTACCAACCTGCACTAACTAGTGTGGCTGCAGTTTATTTTGTTTAACCAGGTGAACACTCCAAAGACCGGGATAGGTTTAATTCGAAAAAGTGACCCACTGCGTTCGTCTGCCAGTAGCGGGGGTAATGGTTTGCTATGTATGGTCCCAATTGTGTAATTTGCAGATCAATTTTTTTCTAATTTGGGAAACTTTGCCAAATTGGAAATAATATGGCAAAAAAACCTCCCATCATTGACAAACTTTACTAATTGCCTGTGTCGGGTGGGTTGAGAACGGCTGGATTTTTTTTTCCATACACATTGAAACCTCGCCTTTTTTATATTGCAGCACGCCTAACAAATAGCATACCATTTGTACTGCAACAATTCCTGATATACGCTCGCTCTGAAACATACATCCTCCCCCCCCCCCTCACGACATTCATAAGTAAATGAACATGTCTGTTGTGGATGATATGAGGGGTTGGTAAGTTAATCCTTTAGAATGAAGCTCGTGACTGATGTTCAGTATCTGCATAACAGCCCACACCAGAAAACGTTAACATTCATTTTTTTTTAGTGCACAATGGATGGATTGCTTAATGCCTTTTTGATGGTATGCCAGATGTAATTGTTCATGTCACCGCGGCCAGAAGTCGTTGCAATTGATTTGTCCACCTTCCACAATTGCTGAAAACGCAATGGAAGTCTCAATTCATGCTCGTACGTTTAACTTATTTCGTGCAACGTATGTAGCCAACCGTTCTAATCACACACGTCTGTGAATTACACAAAGATTCCCGGCACCGCGCATTTGTCCTCGATTTGTATTTAATCACGAAAGCTCGCAATGCGCAAAGCTGACGGGTTTGTGGGCGGAACAAAATGTGTTTACACGCGTTCAGCTCGTGCCATTTTGCTCTGCTTTCAACTCCAAATTATGAGCATCCTTTCGTGCAAATTTTTTTTACCTGATTTCCTCTGGCAATTAAACTATTTGATGATGGTGCCTTGGCAGTGATGAACATGCACAGTTACAAAAAAACACCTTCCCCAGTAACACTGCTTTAAAATATATATAGACAACGTTTTCGGCAATATCCCTTCTTTACGTGTTAAGAAGAATGGCTATTGGCCAATGCTTGGCCTGTTGTATATACAGCATATATTTACATGTTTACGCAGTGTCATTGACGAATGTGTAGAGTTTTTTTCGAGGGCAAGTCCCCAACAGCAAAATAATTGCAGTCTAAAGTTGTCCTCTTATCGGATCATACTTAGGAGAGTGAAGAGTGTTATTAAGACCCCATGGTATAGACAGATGGACGGATGGATGGATGAACAGACAGAGATAATTCATGCACAAACGCTTTGAACTTTAGTTGGAAAGAGTTATGGAAATAGTCCTTCAAAGGCCATTCTTGGACTATATTTTACCCATGTAGAACACAATTCATGCTTTGGCATGTAGCACGAATTAATACCTGCACACTGGGCAATTAAAACAAAAAGCTTCGTAGTGGACACACTATTCTTTGGTTCTTTCGGTAAAGTCACGTAGATAGAAAAAAAGTGAATACAAATAATAAAATAAAAGTAAAAACAAAAACCACCACGTTTCGATCATCAGGAAAAGGGGGGTTAGCATCTAAAGGCAAACTGTTTATAAAGGTTTAGAGATGGGCGTAGCCCAAGTGTATCAGCAGCATGGGCGGGGTAGCTAATGTTAATGTAGGAGAAAACAACTAAACCGGCAGTGGGTCTCCCCCAATCAAAGGGCCGCCAGACAATCATTGCCCCTCGCTCCACACACCCACACTGCTGACGGTGGAGGTTGACAAGAAAACACAAATCATGACCCCAAATGGTTGATGACATCTTTCCAATAATTGCTGAGTTTATAACCATCCTCATAGTTGAAATTGTGTCTGTCTGTTTTTATGGATGGCTTCATGAACTAATCTTTGTTGATAGCCAGTAGGCTTTCAAAGTAATAGTGTACACACTGTATGTTAAAAGACTATTAACGTATGCGCATATC